AAAAACTATAAGTGAAATTTTTTAAAAATATTTTTTCGTTTTAATTTAATTATTAAAAAAAAATCAAATAATTAAAAACGTCGGCTAACATTAGTATCATCCATGATTGTACTTAAACCCGGGGTTGAAAAACTGGCCCTAAATAAACCTAAAAAAAAAAAAAAAAAAAAAAAAAAAAAAAAAATAATGCCAAAAAAAAATCAATAAACTGACTTAAAAAAAAAATATATATATATTTCTAGGCAAAATGTCTGAAACAATGGAACGCAGAATCGAAGAAAGCAAAAACGGAATAGAGAACGACGGACCACCAGGAATGGAACCAGATGGTGTGATCGAGTCGAACTGGGACCAGATAGTCGAGAGCTTCGACGACTTGAACCTGAAGGACCAGCTCTTGCGAGGAATTTACGCTTATGGTTTCGAGAAGCCATCAGCAATTCAAGCTCGTGCTATCCTTCCATGCATCAAGGGGCACGACGTGATCGCTCAGGCCCAGTCAGGAACTGGTAAAACTGCAACCTTCTCTATTTCTATTTTGCAGCAAATAGACACTTCTATCAACGAGTGCCAGGCTCTGATCCTAGCTCCGACCCGTGAGTTGGCCCAGCAGATCCAGAAGGTCGTGATCGCTCTTGGAGACTTCATGCAAGCCCAGTGTCACGCTTGCATTGGAGGAACCAACGTGCGCGAGGACATACGCAAGTTGGAGCAAGGAGTCCACGTGGTGGTCGGAACTCCCGGTCGTGTCTACGACATGATAAGCCGTCGCGCATTACGCACCAACAACATCAAGATGTTCGTTCTTGATGAAGCTGACGAGATGTTGTCCCGTGGATTCAAGGACCAGATCCACGATGTCTTCAAGCTGCTGCCAACTGAAGTCCAGGTTATCTTGCTCTCGGCTACCATGCCCAATGATGTCTTGGAGGTGTCCAAGTGCTTCATGCGCGACCCGATCAACATCTTGGTCAAAAAAGAGCAGCTCACTCTCGAGGGTATCAAGCAGTTCTTCATTTTTGTTGAAAAGGAAGACTGGAAGCTGGAGACTCTTTGCGATTTGTATGACACTCTGAGCATCACTCAGGCTGTTATCTTCTGCAATACTCGTCGCAAGGTCGACTGGCTCACTGAGAACATGCAGAACCGTGACTTTACTGTCTCTGCTATTCACGGAGAGATGGAGCAGAAAGAGCGTGATCTTATTATGAGGCAATTCCGTACTGGATCTTCTCGTGTTCTTATCACGACAGACATCTTGGCTCGTGGTATTGATGTTCAACAAGTTTCTCTTGTTATTAATTATGATTTGCCGTCGAACCGTGAGAATTACATCCACAGAATTGGACGTGGTGGTCGTTTTGGACGTAAGGGAGTAGCCATTAATTTTATTACTGAGGAAGACAAACGCACGCTTAGTGATATTGAGCATTTCTACAGCACTTCCATTGATGAGATGCCAATGAACGTCGCTGATTTAATTTAAATCTATCAGTTGGCTATAACTTACTTAGATAGTAATTTAATTTTTGTATATCGATAATAAAACAACATCAATAACAATAACAGCAAACATCTATCCGTTTAAAACACACATTTATAGCTCAATTTCGTAATTGATTAGTTAACGTCAAAAATACGACAATTTGTATATTATTTTATATAAATAATATATATTACAACTATTTTTGTAAACTTTAACGAGTTAACTTATTATTCTATAAATGGCTGAAATTAAGTCCAGTTTTCCAATTGACATATGTATCGGTAATAACTAATTATATAAATTATTGAAATTACAGTTACTAATAACTAAACAGTTACAGTAAATAATAGTTACATTTAATCCAACATTATTGTTAAGAGCAATCAATTATTCTTTGTTGTTTTTTTTTTTTTTTTATATATGATATAGGTTTTAATTTGCTTTTTTGATTTATTTTCATTGTAAACGCCATTTTCATTATTAAACTTATTAAATAAAAAAAAAAAAAAAAAAAAAAAAAAAAAAAAACGGAACAATTAACTTTCACACACACACACACACACA